ATGCTTTCCTAATCCCTATCATTCCTCAGGCTCTGAAAAGGTCTTGTCAGACTAATACGGTTTAACCCTACAAAATGAATAAAAATGTCTGTAAATAGGAATACAATTACGTCATCAATCGGGTGTGATACCCAGTAAACATGCCGACGTCGGCCCGACGTCGGCCGACGTCGGGGTGACGTCGGCAACTCGGCATCAGCATGCCGACGTCGGCCCGACGTCGGTCCAACCTCGGCACGACGTCGGCTGGATGTCGGATATGCCCGCATGTTCCGAAGTCCAGCCGAGGTCCAGCCGACGTCGGGCCGACGTCGGACCGAGATAAATTGCTGAGGTCCAGCCGACGTCGGGCCGACGTCGGGGCGACGTCGGACCGACATCGGCCGCTATTTTGACCGTTAAAATAAGATAAAATACATGTTTCATGTTTCATAAAGAGCTTCTGTATTCAAAATATCCTCAGGAAACTCAAATCTTCCTCCACGCCGCAACCCCCTGATCCGGACTGGACGGGAAACTTAATCCCATTTGGGATTGCCCGTAAGCCGAGCTCGCCCGTAGCCGGGTGCGGTGAGTGCTTGGGGGCTGCTCGGCCTATCCTTTGGTCAGGCTCAGCCCCGGCAACTCACCAGGGCCGGGCCCAGTTCATATAGAAAGGCCAGTCGGCAAGTGTCACTTTGCCAAAGTGCCACTTATCAAAGGGACACTTTGGGAAACGTTGGTGCAGGTGTGTAAGAGTGGCTATATGAATCCATTGTGGGGTCGCCCTTTCCAAAAAGTGTCACGTAACAGCAATGGGACCAGGGACTCTATACGAACTGGACCCAGGGTGCTCGCCAAGAAGACCAATGTCTCCATCCTATGATCCTTCCGGCTCTGAAATGGTCTTGTCAGACCGAAAGGGCATAACACAACAAAACAAACCGAATTCCTTAGCTGGCTGCGTGGTGTAGTGGTTAGCGCACTAACCTCGCGTTCGAATGATACGGGGTTCGAATCCCATCGCCGGCTGATGTTTTTGGCGTGTTGTCCCAGTAAACATGCCGACGTCGGCGACTGGGGGGCTCGAATCCCGCCGCCGGTTGATATTTTTGGCGCGTTGTCCCAATAAACATGCCGACGTCGGCCCCGTCGGTCCAACGACAAACGATCTCGTCAACCTCGGCAAACGATCTCGGCCCGACGTCGGCTCGACGTCGGCTGGACTTTGGCTGGACGTCGGAACATGCGGGCATATCCAACGTCCAGCCGATGTCGGGCCGAGGTTGAACCGACGTTGGGCCGACGTCGGGCCGAACCTCGGCCCGACGTCGGGCCGACGTCGGCATGTTTACTGGGATAGGCTCAACAGCTGTTTTTTTTCGTTCTGTGATGACTGGTCGTCTAGGACGTATTTTATCCACCCGTTAAGCGAGAAATTATAAATTTGTACAACTGGCTGAGCCAGAGACGTTTCCAACTTCTTATAGTTATACCTTATTAACCCGCGCCCCGTTGGGCTCTGCCGAGCAACGTGCCCCGTTGGGGGGGGGGGGCATTTTGGCCCCCCCCCCTAAGATCTCGAGAACCACGTAACCTAGCGACAAGCGGCAAACGGTGTTGGATAGCCCTATCAAGGATCTACCTTGTGACCCAATTTTATTGACCTAGGTCAAACCGATGACGTCACAGGTCAGGTCAAAGGTCCAATTTTCACCGTTTACAGGCATTTCAAGAAATGCGTTGTAAAATCGAGTAAAATGCATTTCATTGAAAATCATTGATGGGGAAATGTTCTTCAAACACATGTTTTGCTATTTGAGGTCACTGATACCAGGTCAGGTCACAGAGGTCAGGTCACGGGGGGGGGGTCACAATATGAAGGTGTCGTGTGATACATGTTTTATGGTCCATTTTACATGACGAATGCGATTATGTGGGTCAGGCAGCCTTTGGGGCCAGCTTAGGTCACGTTTTGGTCAAGGTCAGGTCAAGGTCAGGTCAAGGTCAGGTCAAATTAGGTCAAATTTCAAAGTTAATATTTTCGCATAAAATGGGTATCGAATCGATGCAGCTTGTCACGGGGAGTTCAATGGTGGTCTTTGTTTTGCCGTACGTGGTCTAGAATCGCTAAAAATTGAGTTCAAAAATTTGACGTCATCATTTTTGAACAGTTTTTTTCGTTATAACTTGGCCAAAAAACGAGATATCGATCTGAAATTTGGTATGTATATAGAAGAGCGCAGGGACTATCACACATATTCCGGTTTTTTTCGAAATTCGGAATTATTTTGGATTTTTTTTAGTTTTTCTAAAAAAAAACATTTTTTGATTTTTTTTGGGTCAAAAACCCAAAATTTTGAAAATCCGAGATAGCAGTTTTGTAGCGCCACTTTTTGTCTACTAGACCATATAAAGAACTTTGAAATTGCTTGATAACTGTAGATTTGGTGAGCGTTTCAAGATTGCATGTTTTTTGCTCATTTTTTCTCGAACATGACCTCAGTTTGACCTCAATAACTCCTGACTTAAGGTGACCTAAGACTTGAAATTTGGTGTTAAGGTGTCAAATTGATGCCTGCGCGCCGCTGTTTTCTTGCTATTCAGGAAAAACCACAGGAGGGGGGCCAAAATGCCCCCCCCCCCCAACGGGGCGAGGGTTAAATGAGTGAGAGGAGCTCACGCCTATCTGTTACATTGATATCTACAAATAATATAGGCCATGACTGTGACTATTGAGTATTTGAATAAGAAATGCATGCGTTAGGAAAGTTTAGTATGCTAACTGTTGATTTTTTTCGTGTTGTGCTTTACAACGTCAGAGTAACATATTTGTATGCCGGCATCGTTACCTTTACATAGATAAAACTTATTACCTATGCTATATTGTAGCTATTTATTAGTACTATTATTATAGTCATTATAATTTTTATATTATGTACCTATATTATTATATGAATTATAGATTATTATATAAATTATATATATTTATTGTATTATTTAGTGATTCGTACGACTCTCGGTTCGATTTAACCCGCGCCCCGTAGGGGGGGGGGGGCGAAACGGCCCCCCTGTCCTTTTCCGTCGATATTTCCTAAACGGCTGGAGATATTGCCATCAAACTTTCAGGACCCCTCCGGGCATCAATTTTACACATCGTGACCAAAAATTTTTCAGAGGCTATGATAGGTTGGCCACAAATGACGTCAGAATGACGTCATGCTCTGTCATTTTCGACCGAAAAAAGACCTTCGCGAGAAGACCTGTCAAGCGTACAGCTTTGAAGATACAGAAAAATGATCAGACATAAAAGGTGTAGAATTGACAGGGCTACAAAACTGTTATCTTAGATTTTTGATTTTTTTTTTAGTTTTGACCCCCAAAATTAATTTTTTTAGAGATATTAGCCAAATCATCAAAAAAGTTTTTTGAGTTTCGAAAAAAAAAACTGGAATATATGTGATAGTACCTACCGTCTTCTATCTACCTACCAAATTTCAGATCGATACCTCTTTTTTTGGCCAAGTTATAGCGAAAAAAACTGTTCAAAAATGATGATGTCAAATTTTCAAACTCAATTTTTGGCCATTCTAGCCCTCTTAGAGCAAAACAAAAACCACCAATAGACTCCCCGTGACGAGCTGCATTGAATCGATACCTAGTTGATGCAAAAATATCAACTTTGAAATTTGACCTAATTTGACCTGACCTTGACCTGACCTTCACCAAAACGTGACCTAAGCTGGCCCCAAAGGCTGCCTGACCCACATAATTACATTTGTCATGTAAAATGGACCATAAAACATGCATCACACGACACTTTCATATTGTGACCCCCGATGACCTGACCTCGCTGTGACCTGACCTGGTATCAGTGACCTCAGATAGCAAAGTATGTGTTAAACGAACAATGTACCATCGATGGTTTTCAATAAATTACCAATTTACTCGATTTCACAACACATTTCTTAAAATGCCTGTGAACGGTGAAAATCCGACCTTTGACCTGACCTGTGACGTCATCGGTTTGACCTAGGTCAATGAAATTTGGTCACAAGGTAGTTTCCGGGTCGGGCTATCAAATGCCGTTTGAATTTTGAAAATCGGACGGTAAATTTCCGAGATCTTTTGGGGGCCTAACGTCCCCCCCCCCCACGGGTGGTATGGGTCCGCCGATAGCCCTACGGGGCGCGGGTTAAACTTCTAGACAGATATTTGAAAGGTACCTGAGCTATAACCTATTTCATTTTAAATACGAGTATCATGTCATTATTAAGTGAACCGTGCCGAGTGATTCGGCTCTGTCAAAGATCGATTGATTTAAAATAGATATAATTTTAGACGCATAGGGTTCTGTGACACCCGTGGACCGTGGTTGCATCACTCGCAATCGACTCGGAGTTTGAACCTGATCAGCTGTGCTTGATTGTAAGTTTTGATCCCAGCTGAGTTAGTGATTCTGTAAACCGTTATGTCTCAACTGACGGAGGTCTGTAAGAAATTATAGTTTCCCTATAAGGGCTAGTGTTTTATGACATAAGAGCCACGTTTTAGCTGTCTGTGGTCCGTGAAGTGTTTTGTCGCAGCCGTGTCGGTATTCTGTGAACCATATTGTTCCCGCTGATTCCGTATGGTGTGAGCCGTATTTCCAGTCGAGTAGTGGGCTGTGAACCGTAATTCCCGCTGTGCGCCATATTTCCCAGATACTCGTCGCCTCTAGGTGCTTTTCACTATATGCATCTTCCTCTTGGTGACTCTCGCGGTGACTATCAGTGGCGTCGTACCTCTCAGTGACGTCGTGCCTCTCAGTGACTTTCGTTGACTCAGCGACTCGGGTGCCTCTTTGCGCCTCTTTACATCTCTCTGTGCCTCTCGGTGACGCCTTTCTGTACCTCTCGGTGGCGGCCCTCGGTGACTCTCGGTGACAATTGATGCATCTCAGTACCTCCCAGTGTCTCCCGGTTCCTTGTGGTGCCTCCCGGTGCCTCCTGCAGTTCCTCTCGACTCTGTTCTGTGACCAGGTGGAGCAGCTGGAGCAGGAGCAGCTGGAGGAGGGCGCTCAGTTTCTCGGCCTGGCCGTGCTGCAGAACGCCGTGCGCGCCTCGACGTACGCGCCGCTGGAGCAGCTGCACGCCGTCGGAATCACGCCCGTGATGATCACAGGTGATCGGCGACCTGCAGTCTATACGTACCCACCGCACAGCAGCTGCTGCTCGTACTGCGTGCGTGATGCAGCAGCTAGGCGAAACATAGAACATAATGTGTGATTTTCGGAGTAAAAACCAAGCAATTTCACAACCTTTCGGACTCTTTGTCTAAACCGTAAACGCTGTTTTGTAGTGCTGCTTGCTAGGTTTGTAACTATTTATTTAGAACTGGGTCTGGGTCTAGACACGCCCAGGAGTGTACGCTCAACTCCGTCCAAAAACCTACAAGCGCATGATATTTTATGCACTGCCCGTTTCCATACAGATACTATTATTATATGTCTCGCGTTCGCGGCGCAGATGACGCCGCGCCGTGTGTCACACTGCTGACCCTGTGACGTCGTTCACACCGCACTTGCTGACTTTGAGACAAGCTCATGTGACGCTGTGCTGCTCTGTGGCGTTCTCGTGGGCTCCTCTGCTGACCCTGTGACATGCCGACGGCGCAGGGGACAACCTGCTGACCCTGTGACATGCCGACGGCGCAGGGGACAACCTGCTGACTCTGTGACGTGTTCACACGCAGGGGACAACCTGCACTGACCCTGTGACATGCTGACGGCGCAGGGGACAACCTGCTGACCCTGTGACATGCTGACGGCTCAGGAGACAACTTGCTGACCCTGTGACGTGTTCACACGCAGGGGACAACCTGCTGACGGCGGTGAACGTGGCGCGCGCGTCGGGCCTAGTGCAGCGGGCGCAGACGATCCTGCGCGTCTCCGTCGAGCTGGTGCCCTCCTCGGTGAAGGCGGCTCAGCACTTGCGCATCACCTACAGCAGTCCGGAGACGGAGCGCACCCAAACCTACCTGGTTCGTGGCGCCGGGCGTGGAGGGCAGGGCACTGGTCGCGGAGATACCCGGACATGTAGTGCGGGAGCCCATCTCATTTAAACACATCTTTACACTTTAGGAAAATATTTATCTTAGATTTTTGCACCTTCTTATAGAGCACAACAGTCTTTTTTCGCACTCCGACCTAGTTTTGTTGTGGGCTGACATTCAAGCGGTCGGTGCGACTGTCGTACACTCCTCCTCACCAGCGGACCCTCCCGGGCCGTTTCCGGCAGAAGGGGAAGCAGCGGCTGGTGCACAGTGACAACTACGTGTTCGCCGTGGACGGCGCCTCGTTCGGCCTGCTCTGGAGCCTGGACCGGCGCACGCTGCGTACCATCGTGCACCGGTGCCGGGTGTTTGGCCGCGTCACGCCGCAGCAGAAGGTCCAGGTGGTCGAGATGCTGCAGGAGCTCGGGTACGGCGACACGGGGTCAGCGCGCGGGGTCAGCGCGCGGGGTCAGCGCACCGGGTCACAGCACGGCGACACGGGGTCGCACTGGGACACTGCACTGCACTGGGGTAAACTTATGAGTTTATGACAAACTCGTCCGTAAGAAATGAGGCGAGCTATTCTTTTTTGGTATTGCCTTTGCGGTTTTGCTGCAATGCATGACGAAATGGATTGACAGCTTATCACCTCTCTCTCTCTCTCTCTCTCTCTCTCTCTCTCTCTCTCTCTCTCTCTCTCTCTCTCTCTCTCTCTCTCTCTCTCTCTCTCTCTCTCTCTCTCTCTCTCTCTCTCTCTCTCTCTTCTCTCTCTCTCTCTCTCTCTCTCTCTCTCTCTCTCTCTCTCTCTCTCTCTCTCTCTCTCTCTCTCTCTCTCTCTCTCTCTCTCTCTCTCTCTCTCTCTCTCTCTCTCTTTCTCCGTCCCCTGGCAGCCGCCAGGTGGGTATGTGCGGGGACGGGTGTAACGACTACTGAGTACTGGGACGGGTGTAATGACTACCGGGACGGGTGTAACGACTGACACCCTCCCCTGTCCCCCTGGCAGCCGCCAGGTGGGTATGTGCGGGGACGGGTGTAACGACTGCGGCGCGCTGCGTACCGCCCACGCGGGCCTGTCGCTGTCGCCGGCCGAGCCGTCGGCGGCCGCTCCGTTCACCTCCCACTCGGGCTCAGTGGGCAGCGCGCCCGAGCTGGTGCGCGAGGGACGCGCCGCACTGGTCGCCTCGTTCGCGCTCTTCAAGAACGTCTTCTCCACGGGCCTGGTGGTGATGTTCCTGGCGCTTACCCTGTACACGGTGGGTGCAGCAGGGGCGAGGGTGGTGGGCGAGGGAGCAGGACAGGTATACAGTTTCCAGCATTTAACATGAAATCGTGTGCATGCACATTGTACGATCATAATAAAATATTATGATTTTATGCCGGTGTTTCAACGATATGATGAGAGAGTCATTCTAAAAAGCTTCCGGTTCGCTCATGTTCTCCCTGTCACGGTCCCGGCGTTGGCTGGTACAGATGTATGTATGACTGTTGTGGCTGCTACCGTGCCCTGACGTCCGTTTGTCTGCGACCGCCGCAGGCCGGCTGCGAGCCGCTCTCGCCGCACTACATCATCATGGTGATCGTGATCGGGATGCCGGCGCCGTTCGTGCTGAGCTACGCGGCGCCGGCGGGCCGGCTGTGCCGCCGCCGGCCGCCGTCCCAGCTCACCGAGCCCGTCCAGGTGGTCAGCTCGCTCAGCTTCGTGCTGCTGCAGTGCGTTACCCTGCTGGGCGTCTACCACTACACGGCCGCCCAGCCCTGGTGAGTTCCTTATACCACTACACCGCCGCCCAGCCCTGGGGTGTTCCTGTTGCACTACACAGCCGCCCAGTCCTGGTGAGTTCCATATACCACTACACGGCCGCCCAGCCCTGGTGAGTTCCATAGGGGAAGTTGGGGGAACGCCGAAGACTTTTTTTCTGACGCCCGTAGCACGCAAGGTAGACAACATACGCTATTCTTGTTGGCATCATTCGAGAGGCCAGTCTTTTGCCTTTCAAACATACCAGGCGCATTTGATGAATTTGCATACCGTTAAGCGCACAAACTAAAAATATCAAAGAAGTGACTTTTTCGGCGTTGCCCCGGACTGCGGGGAAAGCCGAAAATGGGAGAAATGATCTACGGGGAATGCCGACATTGATGTTTTGCCATTTTATCTCAAACTTTATCCAGAATTCATCAAAGCTGTCACACGTTTCAAGAGCTTGAGGACGCGGTGCACACTGGAAGTTATAATTGTGTGATATAATAAGAAAATGCCAGGTAAATCATTCCTTATAGGTAACAGGCCGTTGTGTCGGTTGAAAGTGTAATTTGTGTGACTAAAAATACGCGTTGCTATTCTACAGCAGTGAAGTCCACGTAGCGTGCTTTTAACACGTGCGTAATCGCACGTTTTCGGCATTACCCCAGCCAGCCATACTTTCATTTGCAGGCCCATAACTTTTCAACGTGCTGTATAAATTTCAAATAGGCAGCACACTTATGCAAAGACATGCTAAAGATTACTTGACCGAATTGGCCAGACAAACGGTAGCATAATGAGTAAAAAATGCAGCTTCAAAGGCGCATGTAGTACAAGGGAAACGTACCTTGAAAACGCTCTTGGCGCCCTCACAGCCAAAGTATTCCGAATGACGACTCGTAACAAACATGCGATAATTGTAGTCACTTAAGCTTCAGAGCATCACTGACAGGTGGCATCCATGTTTTACGGTTTTCGAAATATCTCGAATTTCGGCTTTGCCCCAACTCAGGCATTGCCCCAACTTCCCCTATACCACTACACGGCCGCCCAGCCCTGGTGAGTTCCATATAATACCACTACACGGCCGCCCAGCCCTGGTGGGTTCCATATCATACCACTACACGGCCGCCCAGCCCTGGTGAGTTCCATATACCACTACACGGCCGCCCAGCCCTGGTGAGTTCCATATACCACTACACGGCCGCCCAGCCCTGGTGAGTTTCATATACCACTACACGGCCGCCCAGCCCTGGTGAGTTCCATATACCACTGTACGGCCGCCCAGCCCTGGTGAGTTTCTTATACCACTACACGGCCGCCCAGCCCTGGTGAGTTCCATGTACCACTACACGGCCGCCCAGCCCTGGTGAGTTCCATATAATACCACTACACGGCCGCCCAGCCCTGGTGAGTTCCTTATACCACTGCACGGCCGCCCAACCTTGGTGAGTTCCATATACCACTACACGGCCGCCCAGCCCTGGTGAGTTCCATATACCACTACACGGCCGCCCAGCCCTGGTGAGTTCCATATACCCCCACACGGCCGCCCAGCCCTGGTGAGTTCCATATACCACTGCACGGCCGCCCAGCCCTGGTGAGTTCCATATACCCCTACACGGCCGCCCAGCCCTGGTGAGTTCCATATACCCCCACACGGCCGCCCAGCCCTGGTGAGTTACATGTACCACTACACGGCCGCCCAGCCCTGGTGAGTTTCTTATACCACTACACGGCCGCCCAGCCCTGGTGAGTTTCTTATACCACTACACGGCCGCCCAGCCCTGGTGAGTTCCATATACCCCTACACGGCCGCCCAGCCCTGGGGAGTTCCATATACCCCTACACGGCCGCCCAGCCCTGGGGAGTTCCATATACCACTACACGGCCGCCCAGCCCTGGGGAGTTCCATATACCACTACACGGCCGCCCAGCCCTGGTGAGTTTCTTATACCACTACACGGCCGCCCAGCCCTGGTGAGTTCCATGTACCACTACACGGCCGCCCAGCCCTGGTGAGTTCCATATAATACCACTACACGGCCGCCCAGCCCTGGGGAGTTCCATATACCACTACACGGCCGCCCAGCCCTGGGGAGTTCCATATACCACTACACGGCCGCCCAGCCCTGGGGAGTTCCATATACCACTACACGGCCGCCCAGCCCTGGTGAGTTCCTTATACCACTGCACGGCCGCCCAGCCCTGGTGAGTTCCATATACCACTGCACGGCCGCCCAGCCCTGGTGAGTTCCATATACCACTACACGGCCGCCCAGCCCTGGTGAGTTCCATATACCACTACACGGCCGCCCAGCCCTGGGGAGTTCCATATACCACTACACGGCCGCCCAGCCCTGGGGAGTTCCATATACCACTACACGGCCGCCCAGCCCTGGTGAGTTTCTTATACCACTACACGGCCGCCCAGCCCTGGTGAGTTCCATGTACCACTACACGGCCGCCCAGCCCTGGTGAGTTCCATATAATACCACTACACGGCCGCCCAGCCCTGGTGAGTTCCATATACCACTACACGGCCGCCCAGCCCTGGGGAGTTCCATATACCACTACACGGCCGCCCAGCCCTGGTGAGTTCCATATACCACTGCACGGCCGCCCAGCCCTGGTGAGTTTCTTATACCACTACACGGCCGCCCAGCCCTGGTGAGTTCCATGTACCACTACACGGCCGCCCAGCCCTGGTGAGTTCCATATAATACCACTACACGGCCGCCCAGCCCTGGTGAGTTCCATATACCACTACACGGCCGCCCAGCCCTGGTGAGTTCCATATACCACTACACGGCCGCCCAGCCCTGGTGAGTTCCTTATACCACTGCACGGCCGCCCAACCTTGGTGAGTTCCATATACCACTACACGGCCGCCCAGCCCTGGTGAGTTCCTTATACCACTACACGGCCGCCCAGCCCTGGTGAGTTCCATATACCACTACATGCAGCTGCCCAGCCCTGGTGAGTTCCATATCAATATACCCACTACACGGCCGCCCAGCCCTGGTGAGTTCCATATACCACTACACACGGCCGCCCAGCCCTGGTGAGTTCCATATACCACTACACGGCCGCCCAGCCCTGGTGAGTTCCATATACCACTGTACGGCCGCCCAGCCCTGGTGAGTTCCATATACCACTACACAGCCGCCCAGCCCTGGTGAGTTCCATATACCCCTACACGGCCGCCCAGCCCTGGTGAGTTCCATATACCCCTTCACGGCCGCCCAGCCCTGGTGAGTTACATATACCACTACACGGCCGCCCAGCCCTGCAGGGCTGGTCACTTGAACTGACGCAGGAAAACTTGACATTGTCTTTTAGAAGGCAGGCAACCACTACCAAACAAGCAATCGCGCTTGCAGTTTGAAAATATTTATGAGTTATCAGAGTGTGCCTGTTTCTGTGTTTGAGCAGCTGTCCCGAGCTACACAATGGACCGTATAATACGTGTTCAGTCCGGTCTACGATTGTGGCCGGTGCTGAGCGTATGCTGTGGCCGGCTGCTGAGGGTGTCTGTGTGTGTGTCTGTGTGTCTGCTGCGCGCCGGGCAGGTTCCGGCCGGCCTCGGTCACCACCACGCCCATCACCACCTTCTACACGCTGAACAAGCTGCAGCCCACCTACGAGGCGTCGGCGCTGTTCGTCGCCATGAACCTGGTGCTGATCGGCTCGTGGGTCACCTTCTCCCCGGGCGGCCCGTACCGGAGGCCGTTCTACACCAACCGTGAGCAGACCGCGCGCCGCGCCAACCCCGGACTGCTCCCCGCGCTATACTTTGTCTTGCGTTATTCATGTTCACTTATCGATCGTTTTACTGTGTTGCGAGATTATTGCCGTTCTCATGACGAGCTATCTGGCAAATTCACCTAAATTTGACCAAAGCTACACCAGCTCTATTTTACACTAAATATCTTATTCTTCATATCATATGAGCCTATTTCAGTGTTTAAATCGAAAATAGTGTCTGATAGTTTAAAAAAAAATGAGGTAGTTATGTAGGTACCTAAGCACATGTTCAAACCAAACCGATAACTTTAAGAAAACACACTGAACCTAATTTGACCAAATATGCACCTAATTTGACCAAATCTGCACCTAATGCGCTCCAAATGTATACCAGATAGCCGTCTTGAAAACAGCTAATTTAATACTACCTAAATACATATGAATGGAACGGATGGTATGGTGTCAGTGACGTTAGAATAAATCTACTGCAGTAATTTGCACAATGCAAGCGCGCCTTCGGGTTTTGTTTGAATTGCACTGCCAGTGGCCCAGTCGTCACTTGCTCTTTAGTCTTTGACCACTATGATTTCCAATAACTATGAGACTGTTCGATTAGGTTTCATTGACATTTGAAAGTACGTGTACGGACATTTACGATATAAGTAGCGATAGCCCTTGCAACATAACTACGTACTTACCTATTACTTCGTTAGGTGCCTCGAGTCTCCAATGAGGGATTCAGAAATAATGCAGCCCGAGAGACCATTGTCACCATTGTACATACGGTCTATGTACTGTCCCGTGACCCGACCCGGCGCGGCGCTGTGGAGGTCCCCGCCCGCTGTGACCGCTGTCGCCGCTATATCCCCCGCGGCTCTGTGCGGCCGGCGCCTCTCCCGCTTACCCGGCTGGTGGTGGTGCCGCCAGGCCCGCTGCTGGTTCTGATCGCCCTGGCACTGGTGACGTGCGGCTTCGTCATGTTCTACCGCGGCGCCGCGTGGACCAGCTTCTTGCAGATGATGTACGCGCCGTACGCCGAGTACTACCTGGTGGTGGCTGCCTTCGTCACCTTCATGGGGCTGCTGTCCTACATCTGGGAGGTGCGTCTCGGTCAGGCCGGTCTCCGCGGAACTACTCTCACCACCGAGCGGCGAGCCAGCCCGTGTGGGGTATTATAGAGTAAAGGGACGGAGTGAGATTGCCATACAACACCTGAGACGAGTCTTACCTCAGAACCCTGTCTGGTGAAGAAATGCATCGACATGCCATTTGATATAGACATGCCAGGTCTGAATAGATCGCCTTGGCACGTACGGCAAAAATTATGATGCTAGATATCATTTCGCATATATTTTTCCGGCAATCAATTTTTCAGTACATACATCAAACATATCACGTTCTGTGTTGACTCTGTTGCATTATGTAATTACAATGTGGCATATTGATTCTGGGAAAAAGCGGCGGACACATTGCCTGCTGAATTACTCTTTTTAAAAGCATTATTTTTGGATCCGTTAGCTGAATGTAGGCAAAGGAAATCCGTCTGATGCAGGGCACAGCATTGCTGCGATGTTATCTGTCCGGTAAATGAGCCGTGGTCCAGCGCCGACATTGACGATCGGATCCGCGGCAGGCGTACGTGATCCAGGGATACCCGGGCATTAAGGCGGCAGAAATGCTGCACCGCCTCCGCCGCCACAAGCCGCCGTTCGAGGTGATCGAGGAGGAACTGAAACGGAAGAAGAACTGGCCGCCTCTGAAGCAAAGCGAGGACATCGCAGTGGACGATCCCTGCACAGTGGGTCAGTGTGCAGCTAGTGGCGTGCTCCGTAGAATATCAGCGCCTTCAATCATAAGTTCAAAAAGGCAAAAACGCCATATGAGAACGATGACAACTTCCACTAGTAGTTATGGCATGTTTTTTCAGTCGTGCTCTGTCAGCCAGCGGCGTCAGCTACCATACCTATGTATTGTAAAGTGACGTCGTCTGTGCATAATATGTGACGTCAGCTGTCGTTTTTTATGCATAGTAACGTCAGCTATCGCTTGTATTATACAGTAACGTCAGTTGTCGTTTGTACTTTACCTGTATGTGACGTCAGCTGTTGTCTCTGCTGTCAGTGACGTCAGTTGTATGTGCCTGTGTCAGTGATGTCAGCTTCCATCTGTCCGTGTCGGTGATGTCAGACATGTTGTGCGTGATGTGTCAGTGACGTCAGCTTCCATCTCTGCTGTGTCTGTGACGCCAGCCGTTGTCACTTGTCTGTACTGTGTCAGTGACGTCAGATGTTGTATGTGCTGTGTCAGTGACGTCAGATGTTGTATGTGCTGTCAGTGACGTCAGCCTCCATCTCTGCTGTGTTTGTGACGCCGGTGCCGCTCCTCCGACAGCTGTGGAGGCGCCGTCGGCCCCCGAGAAGACGACTGGCGGCGGCGTCAGCACGACGGCGGAGGAGATTTACGCCAGCGGCATCCTGAAGAAGCCGTCGTTCCGGCTGGCCAGCCCGTGGAGGGCCGAGTCGGCGGCGGCGGCGGCCGGCCACAGCGGCTCCGAGCCCGCCAGCGACTCGTTCGGCACGTTCCGGCCGGGCAGCCGGCCGGCGCCGCCGTCCAGCACCGTCTCACACCGGCACAGCATCATCCTGGAGGAGGTGCCCATGGTGCTGCCGCCCGCGCAGCCGGACAACGCCGACTCCGAGTGCTGAGCACACTCCGAGTGCGGAACCATGAGTGCCGAGTCCTGAGTGGCGAGCTTTCTCGAATGCCAAACAGCTCACGTGAGACAAACGGCGCAGCCCGCGATGAGCTAAAACTCGTCATAGTTCAATCGTACATAGGTGCCTTATTATGCTCGCCAACTTGTCGCTGCGCTCGCTGCGGCGTTATTTTTATCTTTTTATCAAACTGAACGAAAATGTACGGATTGGAGCATACTTTATGCATGCGTGGGATAACCTTCACCGAAAGATTTCAAGTGATGACGTCTTTGGTTTGGTTCAGGAGGTAATTTTCGGAGCTGCATGCATAGGCGGCGGAACGGGGGGGGGGCACCGGGGCACCGTGCCCCCCTTGAATTCTGCAAGGGGGGCACCAATAGCAAGGTGCCCCCCTTAAATTTGATGTATTAGTACCAGGAGCAGATTCGGGAAAACTCCAAGGGAAGGGTCATGAATCGAAGTGGTGCCCCTACCTATACCCAAAATGAAAACCTCAACGGATTTCGGCCACTTAATTTTGGTGGTGCCCTATTTTCAGTTATCTATTTTCTTTATTTTTGGTTAGTCGTGTGATGACTGGTGCCTCTGCTAGGCCGCTGGTGCCCCTGGAAAGATTGTGGTACCTACCTACCCTGCCCCCTGACAAGCCCACGGTGGGCCCTGGGTGCCATGGGTCCTAACAGGCCTGTGGTGCCCCTGACAGGCCTGTGGTGTCCTTGCTAGGCCTGTGGTGTCCCTGGGCCTTGGCAGGTCTGTGGTGCCCCTGGCGAGCCTGTGGTGCCCCTGTTAGAACGCAGGTGCCCTTAACAGGTTTGTGGTGCCCCTGACAATCCTAAAGTGCCAACGACAGGCTTGTGGTGCCCTTGACAGGCCCATGGTGCCCTTGCGAGGCTGGTGGTTCCACTGCGAAGCCGATAGTACCCCTGGCAGGCCTCTGGTGCCCCTGGCAGGTCTGTGGTGCCCCTGGAAGACCTGTAGTGCTTTTGCTAGGCCGATGGTGCTCCTGACAGGCCTGTGGTGCCACTGACAGGCCCGTGGTGCCCCTGCTAGGCCTGTGGTACCCCTGGCGGGCCTGTGGTGCCCCTGTCGGCTGTCAGGCCTGTGGTGCTCCTGGCAGGCATGTGGTGACCCCAGGCCCAAAGTCATGACCCATGTGACCTCCCCCCTGGGATTCGCCACTGATTAGTACTGCAATGGCTTCTTGGTAATTTGATACATGTAGGATTAACCCTCGCCAGGCGAGGGCCTTTTCCATAACACGGACGGCGAGGGGGGAGGGTTGGTACGACCCCCCTCGCGATTGGCTCCTATGGCACTTAGAAACGACAAATTTACAGGGTAGGTGGGTCCATGGGAGATCTCGCCCGGCCCCTAGGAAAGTTTGGTGACTCTAAGTCAATATTTAGGGGATTTTGGGGGTATGAATGCAAAAATTTTGCTTAAACATGTTAAAAAATTTTCGCTTATAACTTTTTACCTAGCAAAGATAGAGCAAAAATAAAAGCACCAGTAGTGAACTCAGGACGTCAGTGCGCATCGAATGGTATACTTTGTTACCAATTTTAGTGAACTTTGGAATTCAGTTGCCGCTAAGCTAGTCCAATTTTCCCCTGACCTTGTACCGGTTTTTGTGACCTGGTGACCTGACCTGAAATGACTGGGACTTCAAATTTTCAGGAAAGGTGCGAAAATGTTGCCCCAGAAGGTATGCCAAATTTGGCGGCGCTACGCGCCGCCGTTTTTACGTTATTTGCGAAAAACTTTGGGGGGTTGCATCAACCCCCCTCGTTGGGCGAGGGTTAATGGAATTTATCAAACGAGAATAAGAAAGAGACAAACACATAGGTACTTGAGGATCAGCTTCAAGTTAACCACACATACGGGAGTGTTCTGCCATTTTCGTTTAGTAAAAAAAAAAATAGAAAAAAAATCATCGTGTCAGGGCTGTGACGAAAAATAAGTGGCCTAAATCCGATGAGAAAACAGGATTTGGGGGTACCCTAGGTTTGGCTCCTTGAGCTGGTGCCCCCCCTTGTCTCAAATCGTTCCGCCGCCTATGGCTGCATGCTCTCCTAACTCTCTTAGCCAGACCTGAAGCGATAGCCTTCTTAAAGTGATGGTCTGAAATCTAATGAAAGTGAGCTTATGAGAAAGAATTGTGTGTTGTGTGTAGAATGATGGTGCAAGCAGTTTCTTTTGTCTTTAATCACATATGCATTAAAAATATATTTCCTTTGGTGATAATCTTATTTCTTAAGCCAAACTTGTTACTTGATAAACATATTGATACTATTGGCAAAAATATGAAACTCATCTAGCTTTATTTATTTATTCATTTAGGTATTTAATTATTTATTGCGAATCTTGGCGAAATCCATACACTGGCTTTTCTATCGCTGTGTCAGTACAATGCATAAAAGATCGTAACATACATTCACGAAACACATTGTAAAACAGCACAAGCGCACACGCTAAAAGCAATGGGTAAAAGCAGAGCACATAGCCGATTCATTTAGCTCATAGCTATCGGTCTAATTCATTTTTGTACGCCGCCGGGTCCAGATAGGCCGCATGCGAAGGATTTTGCTAGCTTTTTCAAGCTGCGCAGGCTCGTGGAGTGACGCGCTGGAGCTGGCAGGGAATTCCACGCCGTCACTGCTCGGTATGGGAAGGTCTTTTTTGTAAGTTCTAGCCGTGGACAGGCCGGTGTGTTTGTCTGTAAAATGGTCCCATCTTCCGTCGCTCTGGTCGATCGGTGAGATATCTCGGATCGGCGTCTTACAAGCTCTCTGATGGCACGCGGCCCGTCTGTCTCGTGAATGATACGGTACATGCGAATGCAGTCGCGAAACGTACAGAGTTTGGTGGAAGTTTAGCCAGCCGAGACTCCTGCGTGACTCGGTCACGTGATCGTGTTTACGCTTCCCGGTGACTACTCTCACGGCGAAGTTAATTACTTTGTCAATGCGCTTACGCTGGACAGACGAGGCGGGGGCCCAAGCCGGCAGACAATATCGGACGTGTGGAAAGACGAGGGACTCGATCAAAGTTTTGGTGGTGGAGCTGGGGAGAATATGCTTCAGCTTGTTGATGGTGACGAGAGAGCCAAAGCAACGCTGCGTGATATTGCCCGTTTGCTTATCCCAGCTCAGATTCTTGTCTAAAAAGACGCCTAAAAATTTTGACGTAGTCAGAAGAGCGAAGGTGGGCGTCTCCAAAAGTAACGCTAATGTCACTGACTTTGCGCGTTTGTGCTGGTGTGCCGAGAACGATGAATTCTGTTTTAGACGGGTTGATTTTGAGGCCGTTACATTGGCACCATCGCGAAAACAGCGCCAAGTCAAGCTCAACACCAGAGCGTAGACTCGTGATGCCGTTTACATCGGGGAGCGCGCTGTGAATGAGCTGCGTGTCATCCGCATACGAGACAAGTTTACACGATTCAGACAAGAAACATTGGATATCGTTCGTGAATAAAAGAAACATCAATGGTCCGACTATACTGCCCTGCACCACGCCGAACATGACGTCGAGGCCGGGCGCACTACCACCCTTCACGGTCTGGCGACGGTCGGTGAAATAATCGGCGAACCAGTGCGACGAAATGCCGTAGCACTCCAGCTTGGCCAGGAGGGTCGTGCGGTTGACATAATCAAAAGCTTTAGACAAGTCGGTCGAGCTGACGGCTGTGACCATGCCGGAGTCCATGTTCGAAACGACATGACTGACAATGTCGATTACAGCGTCCTCCGTGGAGTGGTGAGGACGGTATGCGTACTGCGAGTTCACAAGAATGTGATGGGACGTCACATATTCCAGAAGCTGTGTACATACTACACGCTCGATAAGTTTACCAACTACACTCAGCACACTGATCGGACGGTAATTTGACGGCTCAGAGACGGCGCTCCGCCCTTGTGCAGGGGTACAACAGTGGCGAGCTTCCACACGGCGGGGACGCACCCCGAGGCGAGTGAGTGATTCACGATGTGGAGCAGATGCGGACCTATAACAGCGAAACAATCTTTCAGCACGGACAGACACGCGTTGTCAGGTCCAACGGCCCTGGAACCGCTAATACGCCGCAGGGCGAGACTCAGCTCTGTTAGGGTGATGCGCCGCACACGGAAGGCCCCGCTGACTACCCAGGCAGTCTGATGGGCAAATCCGCGCTGGTGTCTCTCCTCAGATCGTCGGCTATGCGCTGACCAACGTTGGCAAAGTACTCGTTGAAACGATCCGCGTCGGCCGGTTTAATGTAAAGCTTTCCATCATCATGAAGGCAGATACACCATGCCTAACTAAATATATCAAAGGTTTAGATACAGATGATTGTAGCAGTTTGTTTTCACGCTTTTCTAAATATGCACCTACACGCGCATTGTTTCTTCCCAATTTCGACCTATACCTTTATCACTTATCAGGATTTTGAAGCTCAGCACGGTGCAGGCAGCTATCATGCAGCCACCATTCGTGGTAAAGCAACGTTCACTTGAAAAACTGTCACCGACTAGCGCAGCTATGTGATGACTGCTGTCGCTATGACGATCCCGGGCACGGCCTATGAAAGCAATCTCCCGTTTGGTTCAGTCTCGCCGTCTGATCCTGTCAGAGTGGCCGACGGGGCTCGGCAGCCTTTTCTGTGCCCATACCCAAGTGAGCTCCGCTCCGGCGCCAACAGAAGAATTCCACGTGAGGTAACCAAGCCGTAGATCGGTGGCGTCGGCAGTCGACTGGCGCAGTCTCTGGAAGGGGTTCACGGATAGGTTGTATCTAGGCGCCCAGCCAACATCCAGCTACAGCAGTGATGCTGGGATCGCTTCGCGTTACATTTACAGCTCTGATGCTACTGGCCTCCTTCGTTTTGTTGCTGGCCATCGCCCGTAAATACCGACAATGCAAAGAGTCACCGATTCCGCTGGTTCTCAACTTGTCATTTATCGGCTTCGTTCTCGGTTTGTTGTTAACGACGGCGTCCGTCTGGGACTGGGTGTCGCCAGGCAGCCTGCTGACCGCACCCTGCCTCTGGATGCTCTACATCAGCATGGGAGTGCTCAACGCCTTCAAAGCGGCCACGCTGTGTCTGGCCGTGGACCAGTTCAGCGCCGTGGCCAGTCCGCTCCGCCACCGGGATCGGATGGCCCGCTGGCTGCCGGGGATGGTGGCCGCCACCTGGGCGGCGCCGCTGGGCTCGGGCCTGGCGGCGGCCGCGCTGCACCAGGCCCTCCAGCCGGAGACGGTGCAGCAGTTCAACCGGCGCGTGTTCGGCTTGCAGCACGAGGCGGCCGAGTGCCGCTGGGAGCGCGCCGCCCACCTGTTCATAGTGGCCGAGGAGGTGTGGCTGCTGGCGCTGTCGCTCGCCTCAGGCAGTCTGTTCGTGTTCACAGCCGTGGTGGGCCTGCGACGGCAGCGGCGGATCAACCGGGCCGCCGGCACCAGCGACGCCGAGCTCAACCAGGTGGCCGTGCGACACTTCAAGTCCTTCAAACGCATCATAAAGGTGCTCGCCCTGGTGACCTTGCTGGACGTCGTCGGCGCAGTGTTGCGAATCGTCTCCCGGTGGCACCAGCTGCCGGAGGCGTTTCATTACATGTATGTCGTCCGCATCCCAGGTCTGGTCATTGAGTGCTGGACCTACGGGCTCAGCCACTCTGGTCTGCGCGCCGCCTTCGTCGACTTCTTCGGCAGAATGAGGAGCGCCGTCGAGCCTCTGCCGACGACCGAGTGCGTGAGGGCAGTCGGGACACACACGGTGCCTTGTCGTGGTGAATCAGAGCCACCGGAACCAGAACCGGAACCAGAAGCAAGGTCCGAGCACACTTGAAACCAACAGCCGCTGGTAGATTCAGTCGCGAGTGAAGACAGCTGTCGACACGGCTCATCTTCTGGCGTGTGACGGAGTAGGTGTTATTTTTCGCGATCGGCCATTAGGCCAGCGGCTAAGTGATAGAAGAGTGTAGGTAGATATCAGCAATGTAAGAATTAGCACTCTCCCAAATTGGCTTGTTCACAGCCGTTAGCGTGTAGGGCGGCGTCGATCGGGGCCAAACGGCTGGAGGGGTGATGCCCAGCTTCCGGTGAGCGTCACTACGACACATGATTTGTCGGGTTAAATGCGTAAATTACTTTGGAAAATCAATCCTCCGGTGTGGTTGCGATTCATGTTCCCGTGCTGTGTCTCTGTGATGTTTCTGCTGTTCGTCGCAGTTCATGTTCCCGTGTTCATGTTGTCGCAGTTCGTGTTGTCTCTGTGGTGTTCCTGTTGTTGGCCACGGTTCGTGTCGCCGAGCACTGTACCGGCTAATTTCGCCAGCTCGCACGCGTTTCATCGCGTTTCATCGCATTGTTATACATACGTTTGGCATCGTGTCGTCTTGTATCGATTGATGTTGCCTCGGTGGGCCCGCGGCGTGGGTGACACCGCCTCGCTGCATCCGGGGCGAAGCTGCGATATGTTGTCTCGCCATAATTGAATAGCGGTCGCCCTACAGCCAGTTTGTGTTATTATTCGATCTCTCTCGGCCCCAACTGCGCGGGTCGTGATAAACACGAAAATATTCGTAGTGGCTTTCGTTTGCTTTATTACATAGTTTGGCTAAGAATTATTTTATGCACTTCGTAAAACGCTGAAAGGAAAATAAATTGTCCAAACCTTTACAAAATGCCCCACCTAGACAGTAAGCACGGAAAATGTCGTCGTAGACTAGTCGTAGTCGTAGAATGTCGTAGACTATATATTCCGTGCAGTAAGTATAGTCAGAAACTTTACAAAAACCTTTGCCTCATCGTGCCTGTGTCGTCGCACTACCTACATAACCGACTAGTGCCGCATGCTGAGGCTATTGCGCCTTTTGATAGAAAATGGCCATAACTTCGGCTAGGTGTTACCTTCTAACTCCCAAAGTAACTCTTATCCCCCCTCAGCAAGTCACGTTTTTTTTCTTTCAGGAAAGTCAAATCCATCAAGTGAATGTACCTATAGGTGCTGTAAATGTATCAAGCCTTCGGTTTCTACTCGTAGGTAACTAGTTTGCTTAGAAAAGCATGTTCTTTGTTCAGATTTAACTGCAGCAAATGTCGAACTCGGATGCCTACTTGCAGTTAATCGCCTCTTATTACCTCCACACTCCACAGTTCACGACAGCCAGTTGCCTGGCTGTCGCCAGGCAACTGCTATCACCTATGGTACCAAGGTATGTATGTAGTTATCCACTGATACGGCCATACCTACGATTGAGAAAGCGTTATCGATATA